ACTAGAAAGAAAGCTTCAATTTTTCAAATGGTCAACTAACAATTGAGCTATCCGATTGACTCATTACATCGATGAAATCTGTCACTTGAATGAGTAGTTTGTTGAACTCTTATTTTTGAACTACAATTTCAGGTTTGGATTTTTGAGCTACATTTTCAACTGCACTCAAAATGACTGGGGTACACAAAATGACTTGAAGCATTTTTCAGTTTGTCTGAAAAAGTAGATGCTAGCGATGTAGCAGTACTTTTCAGGAAATTTTTTGAGGGGTGATAAAATGCCTAGGAAGGCTACGAAAGGTGATATCAAGGCGATGATGACTTAGAATGATTAAGCACTGTTTAATATCGAAAGGCGCCCTAATACTTCAAATTTGTCACTGAAGAATCAAATATGAACCTTTGTCAAAATCAGAACTGCAAGTATTAATTCAAAAATGTTCGGCCTTTTTCTGTTAACTTTTTGTTTCTCGGAGAGTCTTTAAAGGTTTTCCCTCAAACCTCGTCTGCTGAGAGCATCAAGGCTATTGAAGATTGCTCTAAGTGTTCTGAGTTCTATGGCTAAAAATTCAAAAACACGAAATTATTGGTAATATCAGTGTTTTTTTTTCTTCAGAACTAAAGTTTTATTGTTGTTTTGTGATTTTCTTCGAAATTAGTAAATATCAGGTGCTCCGTCTCTGTTGCAGAACACTACTCCTTTGGTTTATTTTGAAAAGAAGTTAAATTTTTCCACGGTCTGTAATCCTGATTTTGTAGTGAAGTTATTGCTGAGATGTTTCGTTAATGAGTAATTGATCATGTCTCACCCGATCATAACTCTCGCTGTTTTAATCACATCGTTTCTGAGAAAATATTGATCAATTTTCTTTTTGGTTAAACAAAGTCCGGGAATTGCAATGACTAAATTCTTCAATTCACGTTGTTGTCTCTGTGGTATGGTCTGGATAGCGTGATACAAAGAGCACGCTCCGCGATTCATAAATGACTCAAGGAGAATTTCTTTAAGATTGTTAAACCGAACACGCTTCACTTATTAAATTTTTTCAACAGAATTTTTGTACCGTTTATTTAGTCCATGAACAGGAATTTATTTTTACAGGCCGAGAGAGTGTTTAAACTATGTACAGAAGAAAGAGCAGATGAATGTAATGACAACAAGTCTTAGCAGAATAATGCACGCTTGGAAGTTCACTGGTGAACAGTTAGGCATAAAGCATTTGCAGGATAATTTTGCACTCAAAACTGGCATAATTATAACACGGATTTGTTGGCAGAAGTGCAGAAAATAGACAACGGTGACAGGGAATTGAATTTAAGTGAAGATCACAAAAAGTTTAAAACAATAGAAAACGAACAAACTTCCAAACTAATTTCCCAAACTAAAATAGAGAGATTGAGCTTATGTGAAAATGCACAAATGGGGAAGAACAATAGGTCAAGCAAGAAATGTAAAAAAACTGGTTTTTGAAGTTTTCTTTCCAGTGATTTGGATGTTGAACGTTTAATTTTTGCCTCAAAAAACGGCTGTTGTTTGCCGAGAGGATGGGTTTTTGGAGTTTATGGTTGCCTGGAACTGTTAACAGGCTCGTGCCTGTCTATGCATCCGCCATAAAAAATCTTCCAGTCCCGGATATGCTATGTTTTGTCAAACAGAAGTCCACTCCGCTTCATTTTTAGTGAAAGAAGTAATCTACTGCTGGCTATTCTCAGCAATTAGCTTGACTTTGGGGCGGCGTTAAACCCATGAGCTTTAAAAATTGTACCAGTTTTCTGAGAAAAGCGGCGCAGTTGATCAGAACCGTACAGTCTTTTAGTTGAGGTATTTGCCACGACTCCAACTCTTTTATTAAAACAATGGATCAATAGCTTCAGCAGTTGTGCTCAAAACTGTTTTAAACACTCAATCGACAAAGTAGCAGCATCAAGTTGATTTCAATTCACGACTCATCACAATTTTCACGAAGCATTATTTAACGATGTCATCTCGATCAGCATTATCATTTGGTTGGAAAGGGACCTAAAGTTGAAAAATTCTAGCAAATCAAAGAATAAAAGAAGTAGAAAAATTTACTTTTGCTATAATTTTTAAAGTGGAAATCGGATCAAGAGAAGGTTTGTCCATTTTTTTTGCCGGCTTAACAAGCGGAAACATTATTCATTGCTTCATGATCACAGCTTCAATCGAGCGGAGTTAACCAAGACCATACACAACTAAATATCGCTCTGCGAGTCACTGGAAAATGCTGCCATTGAAACACAAGCCCCTAAACATGCGCACCGGCGTTTTCCTCAAGAATGATAAATGAACTGCCTTTAATGTCAATCAAACTGTTTAGTTCTAACTGTTTTATTCATGTTATGCAATTTTAGACAATTGCAGGACCTTATCATATGCAATATACACAACAGCAAAGAAAGTTAACGCTCCGAGAAATTAAACAGCCCTATCTGTAGCAACAGCTTTTGGGGACTCATCAAAGAACGCAAACTTAGTCCGTTTGGACGTAAGGCGTTACAACAAATCTCTGTTCCGTTTGAACGTCGTTTACTCCCTCGAAGACTCAGTATTCAATCACGCTCCTGTTTGAGAACTCAATCAAGTCTGTGCATTGTATCCTCATCCAGGCATCTCGGTATATTGCTTTCCCTCAATTTAAGTTCTTCTGGGAATTGACGCAATGCAATGCAGTACATCATTGAGCGAGAAATTTAGCAAGGGCCTCAAATTACACCGTTTGCAATACAAAACCTAGATTGTACTAAAACCGGGCTAATCAACAAGCAGCGACAGAAGGTAACCATGGGAACAGTTAGTTTCGCATACCTATAAAGCATTCGTTAGAGAAATTACATCGGATGACGAATGACCGCTTGCAGCTTTTCTTACAAATTTTTGATCTGTCTAGTCCAACGAAAAGGAGCACCATAAACTGTCTTCTGTCATTGAAAAACAGGTCTACAAATTTCTCCATGAAACGTGAAACAATACATGTAGGTGACCGTTAGAAAATGGTTAGTCTGTTGTGGAGAGAAAAAGTCAACTTACTCAACAATTACAACTCTGGTAAAGCATATTTACTAAGCCTTCAGAAGCGATTAGAAAAACAATCACTTCTCTCAGAGATAAACTTTGAGACTCTAGAAACAGACATTGAGAAGAACTACATAAAAAAGCAGTTTTTAGCAATCAACCACCAGAAGGATTATGGTACCATGCCCATTATGTTGTTTCCAACGCAAACAAACCGGAAAAAATCGAATAGTGTCCAATCCAGCATCAATGCTCAAATGAAACTCATTCAACAACAGTCTGCTGACTGGGCCTGATCTTATCAATAGTTTAGCTGGTTTCCACCTACGGTTTCGCGAAAACCCAATCGCTGTAACAGCAGACATGGCAGCCATGTTCATGCGGATTGCTATCATGGAAAAAGATCGATCCGTCCATCGGTTCCCATGCCCAACAACGACCGTCATAAAACAGTATCAATATAGACGGCTGCTTTTTAGAGGTGCTCGCAATCAATCGCCATTTTCGTTTTACAGCAAACAGCTGATGAATTCGCACCGACTGAGGAAGTTAAGCAGCTATCTCGAAACGGATTCTACATTGACGGCTTAGTGCACCCACATGAATAAAACAACTGCAATCTCGTCCTCAAAGAGTCTTAAGTCTACCCTTTCAAAAATTGGATTCAACCTGTCAGTTTTTTCAATCAATTGTCTGAATTGATTTAGTTGATCAGTGTGACCAGACGAGTCCAACCATCGTGTCCTTGATTTGATATGGGTTAAAACAAAGACTTTCTCCTACAGCTAATTTTTTCGATTTTGAATACTGCAGAAAATATGTACACTATACGGAAACACCTCTTGGTATCATCGCCCCATTAGTGATAACTTTGAAGATTGTCCTGAGATGTTTGGACAGAAGGCCTTGCATGGGATGACCTGCGGCCGAAAAACAGACGCCAAGAAATACAAGTTTGGATTGACAGGTATCTAGCTTTTCCTTCCAACGAAATACCAAGATGTTTCAATTTAAAAAATTCTAACCCAAATTATCAGTTATACGTCTTCATCAGCGCATCACAATGTACCTATGACGCAGTGATCTAAATTAGTGTTTGTGATTATAATCAAATCTCGTATTCCTTTCAGATAAGTCGGGCCGAAATTGCACCGATAAAACAGATAAGTTTGCCGAAATTCGACTTAGAAGCAGCTGTACTTGGAGCTCGCTTAGCCAACTTCATCGTTAGCCAACGCTTCGTAAAAATCAAGTTGAAATAGTTTTTATGTGACAGCACTGCTGTGCTCGACTGGATTAAAGCGTCTGAATAGCTATGTAGCTCATGGCGTGCGTAAAAATTAAGAGAAAGTTATTACTGAAAACCGGAATTTATAAGGGGAAAACTCAATCCTGCCGTCCGTATAACACGTGGTCTTCAACCTCAAGATATAAATACCTTGTGATTGAATTCACCAGACTTCCTTCTACGCGATGAAAAACTGTGGAATAAAGTGCATCAACGAATTCAATGAACAAGGCACTTACTTTAAAACCAGTAACCGTTGAAAGGTTTCCTCGATGGACGAAAATTTTGGGCGCAACCGCAAGAGTTTTTTAAATGAAAAACCTTGATACTTCTATCATCGCAACTTACATATCAAAGATCTCGACAAACCACGTAATTTCTTGTTCAACAATATATCAAAACATATGTATGAGATCTCAGACATAGCAGACAACTGACCCCTACCCACGAAAAACACAATATTGTAACTATCTCCAATTTTCCACAACAATCTTCTTTGTATTGGTTGAAGAACTTTATGAAGTTGTTTACCGTTAAGCGTAATGCACCCAATCATTCTTAGTGCCAAAATTTTGTTACACATTTGTTTTTAATCAAGTGCCACGAAATTTGCATGCATTGTAGTACAGAATACAAACAAAATTTTGTTCAGTTGACGTATTACGTTTTTGTTTTCGAGATGTTCTACGGAAAATTGCAATCAGATGTTTCGTCTGTCGACAATTTGCAGGTAGATACTTTCAAACTCAATGGCAGACTTGCTTCCCATCAGGTTCTCACATAGCGAGCTACTTGTCCCCTTTTCTTACGTTGACCTCGATGACATTGGACCTTTTACTGTTGTGCGAAAAAGGAAGTACAAAAAGCCTACATCTGCTTTGTTCGACTGTCTCGTAAAAAGGGCAATTAACTCAGAAGTTACCGAGGACTTGACTAGAACATGTATTTCGGCTATTCGAAGGTCCATTTGCTTTCTTGGACAACCTACATTTTTAACTTATTGACAACGGTTCTATTTTCCTTGATGCCAGATATAAATTGCGAAGAAAAGCGCTCACTCTGGATGAAGAATTTCTGGAACACCATATGCTCAATAGTTCCTTGCCCGCCCAACCCTCCGTCCGCTCCTCATCATGGCGGTGTGTGGGAGATACTCGTTCAGATTATCAAACGAGTTGTTCTCATGAGCCTTGGTTCGCTAAAATTTATATGGGACAACTTCAATACAACTATTGTAGAAACAGAAGTTTTTTCGAACTCAAGGCCACTAACCCATGTACGAAGCAATCGTTAAAACATTGATTTCATGCAACACTTTCATACCGAGGAGGCCTTCAGTAATTTTGCCATCCTTCATGTTCAACGAAAATTCTACACTCAAGTCTTCAGCTTCGACGCAAGTAAAATAGAAGTTACAAAAAACCAGGGCAGGCTTGTTACTGAAAACCTGTAAAATCTCAACAGCAGATCAAAACGGACTCATAAAATCTTCGTTAGAAAGTGACGATATCGTTTGGCTACTTGAAGAATGGACCCTTAGTGGAAGTGGAATCCGGCCGGTTGGACGCGTGATACGTCTATTCATAAGCCCCGGTTGTATAGCAAGGTCATGTGAAGTGAAAATCGCTCTAGGGAGTTTTGCCCGCCCTGCTGTCAGGCTCGAACATGTGTTCCTTAAACCCATTTCTTGTTCGGGTCGCCGCAAGGGTGTTCATGATTGAACGAACTGATTAAGAATTCCTCCCGCATTTTTGTGTAAATATTTGTACCATGATTATTCCCGCATCTCAATGTAAACATAGTACCAGACTTAACATGAGTGGGAAAACAAGTTGACTTGAATAGAAGATTGCAACAAAATTCAAACAAAGGCTATTAAACCTAGGTTGCCAGCCCCTCGCCCCCCGTAGGAACAGGTATTTGATAGGTGTTATCACTTAAGGAATTCAATCCACCCCAGAGTCAGGCGCCGAGATAACCCCACGTCCAGCTACTAAATAGAACGAAGAACCCCATCCTTCAGTGCGGTACCTTACTACCCTTCGCGCATCTTACCTTGTCGGGCTCAACGGTGTCTGCTCGAAACGTTTTCATTTTGTTACCACTTCGTTTTCTGATGCTAATTTAATATTCAGCTATTGTATTTAACGAGAGGTTATTTTAAATAGTTTTCAACTTGGCGGCTTTCGTCTCATTTTTTCCGGCAAGTTTAACATTCGATGATTTTTTTGAAATGCAAATTGTGCGAAGCTCCTCATAGCCTCTGTAAACCTTGAACTGAGGCCGGATAAATGGAATCCATTAACATCTGGTCTTTATACACAATCTTATAAACTACTGGTCACCTTAAAAATGACAGATGGGGAAGAGCTTAGTATTAAAAGCCAGGGTTTAATTTCAGAGATGAGCGATGGGAAGAAAGCTGCCTTCTCATTTTAATTAGCTTCAAATCCCCTCCCATCATTTTTCAGGTGATATGAGACAGAATGTTCATTTTAGCTGGCGCTTGACCAGCCTTACTCGCGACTGATGGAGAATGAGGCGGACGAAGTAGGACTCATGCTCATTGCTAAGGTGAGACTAAATCCATCAGAAGATCAAATTAATGACAACAAATGAAGTCAACGATACCCGATTTCTTTGCAAGTAGCCCAGAAAGTTTCGACCTCAATGTAAAAAAAAACTTAAAAAATGTTTATTTTTTTTTCAAATTGCCGCATTATTTGTCCACGGTGTGATGAGAGGATCTAAAAAAAAGCCTAAAGGTTCGATAGTTATAGTAACTTTGGTACATTTTACAATATTTTTTCTAACCCGAAAAAAAAAACATTTTTTAACTTTCGATTTTTTCGAAGTTCTCCAGAAGGCGCTAAAAGAATGTTCAAAAAATTGTTTTTGTGGAATGAAAATAAGTTTTCTCGACTGAACTTGATTTATCAACTTGCTATTAAATGCCTATTTTAGTCCATTATAAACCTGCTCGCTCGCTTTTTTTGTTCGAAACTCGAGTAAAAGTCAAAATTTTCAAACCTGTGTTCTCGGAAGATAGTGTTTTTGGAAGTTTTTAATGTTCGATTTATGACTGAAAGGGGTGTAATATGATATATCACTCGACTTTTTCCAATAATTTTTCGTGGCAATTGTTTTTACGTGGAGAACAAAAAAGCAAAAAAAAACTATAGCACTTTTGAAGACAGTTGCTCCCCCATTTTCATTGGTCGGAACAAAGATTTCTTAATACTAGAAGGAACTCGTGGCTCAATCTGAAAACTTGTAGTCCAACTATCCCGGCCGAAAATAGTTTCTTTCCTTCTAACTGAAATCACTTCTTTGGATGCGAGCATTGATCGATCTAATTTCATGATGATAAATACTGATCAGCTTGAGTTAAAATCACGAAAAACAGAGTGATAATTTGAAAAGTTACTTGAACAAAATCGTTCAGTGATGTTGAACATAGAAATCAGAATTTGATTTTTTTAGGCTTGTTACGACATCCGAGAGGCTTGTGCCATGTGGAAGCTAGTGTCTATGAAGGTACAGGTGGAAGATTTTGGCGGTGGCAAAGAGAAGGGCTCGTTTTTGAGCACACACCCCTCGTTCGAAACCAGAGCCAACAACCTAGGCCTCGCAATGGAGAGAGCGAACCATATCAGAGCAGGCAACCAGCCATCCCCATTTTCATTCATCCCCAAAGACCATACTACAATTAGAGTTTTCGGTTGCTCGCTTGTTACAACTAAATTTGAAACATAATTACTCGGTCGGGTCAATTTTGGAAGTGTAATTATTTCGCGCATCAATTGAAAGGCTTAAACTGTGGCATGTGGGGTAGATTTGTATGGTTGAAGAAAAAGTTGGGTTTTTTCCACTCCTGAATTTGGCGCTTCAGATGATTTAGAGTCGATGAACGTTGCGAAGACTCTTATAAAGGTCGTAATGGTTTTTTTTCAGGCAAGTCCTAAATTTTGTTCACGCTCAAATTTAATTTTTGGCAGTTTGAATTTTATTTTTCTCAAGTTTTCGCTCCGCTATCGAACAGCAAAAATTCTAGTTTCGAAAGTGGATTTAAACTTTCAGATTTCCAAGCGAAATATAAAATTTCCTGATTGCTCCAGTTTTCTCAATTGATTGAATGTTATTGATTTAAAAAGTGTCAATCACAAGTTGTACTAGAACTTCAAACAGCTTGAAGGCCATCTATTTTTTCCTCCGAAATTCAAAAGTTGAGATTTTTTCCTAAACATAAGTCAGTTTTTTTGTTTACTTGCGTTCGTTGACTATTTTCCAACTTTTTGTTGGCTGTGTTTGTTCTCTTTCGGATTTTTCTTCACGAGAATAAGAAAATGTATGGTTTTAATAAGTAAATCAGTCATGCTGATGAATTAATGGAGATGGGTGGCAGGAAGACACTGTGCTCCCTTGCAGTCCCCTGACCCTGTCCAGTCTGTGGAAAGAGTGAAACAAGAGCTGGATAAACTGGGACCAGTTGCACCGGGCACCAAAGTGAAAATACTGCAAGACGAGGTGCCTGGGCGAAAAGCTATCAAACTCTATCAAGTTTAAACAACTAAAGTAATGGCTTAAAATGTAGTTTCATTGAATGAATTTAATAAAATATGCGATATTGGTGGTTTCAAGATAGAAAACAAAAGAAAAAACTTAAGCGAGCTTTATATCAGTTCTGGTGGACATGGTATCTCCGAATTAAATAAATTGCCACAGTCGAAGTGAATTAGTTGGATTTGCATTTCAGACACTTACTTATGTCTTGTTTTTTAAGTAGTACAGTGCTGATTTGAATTAACCGGACAAACGCGTTAAACTTGAAATTTAAAACCCGTTTTTCTCAAATTGGGTTGAGTTTAGGTGAAAACTTATGAAGACAAAACTTGCTGAAAATTTTAGCAGAATTAATATGGTGTAATTTGTTTTGCGAAATTCGGGCCCGAAATTTTACCCAGAAAATGCGTCCTTTTGGCTTTTCTTAGTTAATGAATAGTTTTGGCTGAAAATACCCAGTCGATCACAGACATAATTATATCAAATTGAGCCCCTTACGTAGCCCAACGAACTTTAAGAAGGTATGATCTCCAAAATATTGTATAAGTTAATTTATTTTTGTTTGATAGGCAAAAAAGGTCATTTTTACTACATAAAATACCAACTTTTTATTTCAAAACAATTCTTAAACAATTTGCATTTTTTTGGAGATTATACCCTTCTTAAAGTTTGTTGGGCTACATGAGGGGCTCACTTTGATATAATTATGTCTGTGATTGACTGGGTATTTTTGGCCAAAACTATTCATTAACTAAGAAAAGCCAAAATGACCCATTTTTGGGGTAAAATTTGGGGCCCGAATTTCGCAAAACAAATTACACCATATTAATTCTGCTAAAATTTTCAGCAAGTTTTGTCTTCATAAGTTTTCACCTAAATTCAACCCAATTTGAGAAAAACGGGTTTTAAATTTCAAGTTTAACGCGTTTTGTCCGGTTGATTTAAATCAGCACTGTAGATTTGTTGATATGCAATAAAAAATATTGATTATATATTGATTCGATAAATTTTGTGATCAAATCGACTCGCGGTGTAGAATAGTTAACAGATTTCGTGATGCATTATGAGTCTTTGCTTATCTGGTATGAAACTCCTGTGAAACACGCACAAACACAAATTAAAAAATTTCACACTAACGCGTAGTTTTTTTTTTCACTTGAGAGAGCAAGTGACTTATAATTGGAAGCTACACTTTTTCCCCGTAAAATACTTTTCTTACACATTTCTGCTTCACATCTGCTGACTTTCAATTTTCTAATAAATCAAAAATCAAATAAAGCTATTTCTGATTTCATTCCTCTGCATAAGTCTTTTTGTCTGGAGACTATATGGCACTCATAAAAGTCAGTTTTTCTTACTGTCCCAATTTCTGTCGTCTGGTTTTCCGTTTTTTTTCAATGTAAATTATTTTTTTGTAATACGACTTTCAAGCATATAAAAGACAGCCCACTCCTCTATTTATGTTAATAATTAATTAGTTTTTCACCTCATTCCTTTTTCTACAGCTTTCAAAAGTTTTGTAGCAGGAGTGTTTGACCCAATTATTTTTCATTTTCTCGATAACTATCCACCCAAATTGGAAGTTTAAACTCTAACCTGTCTTAACACTTGCGAAGCAAAGTGTTATAGTTCGAACTTTTTCCCAAATATTGTTGCGATTGGATTGGCAAAACAAAATGACTGGCAATTTGTTGCAGTTTTACAGCATATCAATAACATGTGCTTTGACATTCGAATAGTTCTAAGTCTACTCAATTGATGCATTTGTAATTCATCAAGTGAACCGAAGAAAGCTATTTATTTCAAACAACATAACAAAAATAAAATCTCGATTTCAGAAATTTTCTTCCTGAATATATCTCGCAATTTTTTTACATGCATAATTTATTTATAAAACTGTTTTTTTTTTTGTATTTGGTGCTACTTTTGCTGCATCGAAATGGCAATCTGTTAGCATATAAAGCTGCGTTATTATTGGCTAGTTTTTGAGGATTTTAAGCATCCGTGGCTGAAAGGTTAGTTCGTGAGATTCAAATTTGCTAAGACGCAGATTTTTGCTAATTCGAGTTTTTGCTAAGCTTCGAGTTTTTGCAAATTCGAGGCTTTTTCTACTTTTAATGTTATTCGATAGAGCTCCTTTTTGGTCGTGTTATAATGTCTCTCGGAAAATTTTATGGCTCTCGGAAAAGTCAATTTTTTTTGTTTTTTTTTACCGTGTTTAGGTTTTTTACTGAAAACTACCCTGTCAAACCTCAAGTTTTGGATGTGAGAAGCTCCCCTGCAAAAGCAGATACCACCCGTGATTTTTATTTAAAAAAAATACCGCCTTCGGAAATAACGTTTGACCGTTCTTTGGAAAATTTGTGTTTCTCGAAAACAACCCTGCCAATTATCAGTTTAATAGTTCAATCGAACAAACAGATTGTAGGCTTCTTCGCTGCATAAGCCGGTTCGCCCTGTTTTTTGTAGAAAAAACTATAATACCCAGAAAAGTAAACTTTTTGAAATGTTTTTGACTTCTTATAAAGTACCATACTATTAAAGAGATTCAGGATTAAATCAATTAAAGTGGTTCTGAAAGTTTTTCCCGCAGAAGCTTTGTTTTTTAAATTTTCATAAAAATGAATTGATTTTCACATTTTGAAGCTAAATTCATTCCTAAAATTTTTGAAAACAATTTAATGTCTCGAAAATTGCCCTGAAAAATCTGAATTTTAGAGTTCAACCGAAAACACAGGTTATGAAATGTTCTCGAAATAAGTCGCTTCAAATTCACGCGACTTCGATCAAGTGAGCAGGTTGCTGAAAAAGTCTTTACCCTGCCTAATTTTATTTTGAGCTTATTTGTAATAAGATAAAAAAGCTATCTCAGCTAAGCTAGTGGCTAATCATTTATTTTAGTAGAGAAACAACTAAGATTTTAGGCTTAAAATAACGCATTTCTTTGTGCATCAGTAAAAAATTTTAAGTTGATCAAACCAGTACCGGTCGCTTTAGCTGGACACTTAGTAGTTTGAACTATAGCTGAGGGTTGTGCTGTAATTTATCAACTGTGATTTAAAAAAAAAGTATTGAATTTTGTTTGATTGGGTTCGGATTATGTTTTATCGTCCTAATCAACTGTTGTTGTGTAGTTTCATTGGCGAATTTTTGAATGCTTCTGCCGTTTTCAGGAGGGATGGATTATGAAAATTCCGATTTCAAAAAAATTATGGCTTAAAATTTTATTACAGTTTCTTTTTCGGCTGAATGAGGGTCGATGATTTTTTTTTGCCTGAGCTCGTTCACTGATTCGCAAAGACTTCAAAGGTTTGAATCGAAATCTTTTAAAGATTTTGTTTAAAAGGACTTCAAAGGTTTTTTCACTATCAACATCTTTTAATGCAATGTTTTGAATGTGTCGCAAATGTTGCGAACCTCTCCGCTTTGCCACTGTACTTACATTGTTTTGTCTGATTTTTCAAGGAAATATTTTGCACTAGTGTACTTTGTTTTTCCAGTAGGTAAATTCCGGGAAATTCGCATTGTCGGCTTGCTGTGTCTCTGCTTATCTTATGTCGACTTAGTTGCCACATTATGACTTTTGCTGGTGCTTGAAGTTCCCAGTGGCTGTTGCATTATGTTTCTTGCATTTTGTTCTTGAAAATGCAAGTGTTGCAGATTTACTTTTAGAATTTGTAATTATTTTCACTTCAATTCTTCATTCGGCCGACATGGTTTCCGCTAAGCCAAATTCCTTAGGTTTCGTTTGCAATTTTTGATTTATGTTTTTAACATAGTACTTCAGGTCGGTTATGATATAAGTTCGTAAATTTAAAATTTAAGAGTTCAATGTTTTCGTATTTTTTATTGGCTCAGTGGGCATCTACCCACGTATTGCTGGCACAGTGACTGAAGTTGCAAGGCAAATTTTTTCATGGTTACAAATTATTTTCGTTTAATGAAAATTTTTGACAGATTTTTTTACGCTTGCGATTAGCCAGTGTTATTAAGCCAAAAAATAGGTTTTCTTCGGGTTGACAACCAGTTCAACAATATAACTGAATCATTTGGTAAGCTTACCTTATTAAAATATGAAGTTCCTGGTATCAATTTGAACCATGCAGCGCGGAGGTAGCATTCATGCTAAAGACGACAAAGTTATTTGGTTCGGATCCAATCAGGACTTGTTTTTTTTAGAACGAAAAGATTTCCGCTCGGCGAAGAATATTTTCCCGAGTGTTGCTTGTCTGGTTAATTTTTGTCGACTTATTTTGTTTATTTTTCTTTCAATTTTGCATGGTTTGATTTGGTCATGTTAATGAATCATACGTATAAGAGAATAGCTAGATCGTTATTGTTCTTGATTCTTGCAATGATTTTGAACTTGTTTGAAAAACATGTCGCTGTTTTTACAGTCAAGTTTTTAGGATCTAATTTTGGCATAATTTTGTTTTGAAATGTTTCTTCACCTGTGTTCTTTCGTCATACTTTATGAGGGCTTGAGCATTGTTTACTTTGTCTTAATTTTTAAAAATAATTGTGGGATATACTTTGCTACTCTTCTTGGTATTAACTGAACCAAATTTATTAATTTTTTTGTCTAGCTGAAAAAACCCATCGGGCGCAAGACATATTCTAAATTTATTAATTGTGGAAAAATTGAAAATCAGTGACTTCTACATTCGCCTGCTGTTCGTTTCAATTAGGTGGATATCTTCAACAAGCTCATCTGTATAGGCAAAATTTGTTCAGTTATGTTTTCGCTCAAGTCCTTCTAATAATAGCTTTATAGAAACTAGGGAGTTGAAAATAGATATAGTGAGTTTAGGTCCGGGGTGGCCTTCTCATAGAGTAATTTCGGATGGGGTACACCGTCTGTTTGTTACGCTATCTTATTTTTGGCTGGATAGATTCATTCGTGCAACTTCTTAGTCTAATACCGAAGACTAAGAGGGAGAAGAGGGGAAGACCAACTGCTTTCTAAGTCAATTTTTTCTTCTCTGGCTGAAACTATAAATAGCTTCAACTTTACAATTTATCATGAGTTTTAGTAATGGATCATGATTGGTTAGCTCTAAATATTTTACAGATAATTATCATGGAATACATTTCAATATGTAAAACTTGTTTTGAACTGGTTCCAATAGGGAGTTCCGAAAATCATTTGTTCTCATATCGGAGTATAATATCTATTTAACAATAGCCGTTAAGAATTCTGAGAAGAAAAAAAAAACTCTGCGAGGCAACCGTGGGGATTA